GTTCAGTCGCCGTGTTTGAGATCCTTTTGCTTGGTGAAGAAGCTGCCAAGCTTGGCCAGGGATGACTGAAGTGATAGGAAAATGGGAGGATTATGTTGGGTGAGGTTACAAATTTGACCTTTGCAGATAAAAATTTTGTGCTACCGTATTACATCTTACGATCGTGGAGGCGAATTCATGCCGAATTTTAATAAGTTGGTGTCAAATAAATATTTTATTTATAAATTCAACAAATTATGTCTTTTCTAATTTATATCGTGGATAAATTATATATAACTAATAATTAATTGTATCGTTTGTGTATTTTTTATTAACTTTGTTCTTTTAAGATTCATTTATTAATCATGTTATGTTGAATCTACTTGTTTATGAAACTTGTGATTTATAGAGAATTCAAATTTTTTAACTGTCATATTTGCATCCAAATCTCATTTTCACCCTAATTATTAAAAAAAAAAATAATGTGTTAGACTTTGAGCGTGTTTGGGATGACTTATTAAATTCAAAAGTACATCTTGAATAATTATTTTTTAAAAAATACTTTTTTTCATAAACATCGTTTGAATGCTCATTAAAAAAAGTACTTAAANTCAAATCTCATTTTCACCCTAATTATTAAAAAAAAAATTAATGTGTTAGACTTTGAGCGTGTTTGGGATGACTTAATAAATTCAAAAGTACATTCTTGAATAATTACTTTTAAAAAAATACTTTTTTTCATAAACATCGTTTGAATGCTCATTAAAAAAAGTACTTAAATAAAAATGATTTTACAAAAATTGTATTTGGATGATCAATTAAAAAAGTATTTATTTGTATCAAAATTACAAATATGCCCTTCATAATCAAATATATATATGTGTGTGTGTGTGTGTGTTTGCATGTATTTTATTAAAAATGTCAATAGTTATCCCATAATACATTTTTAGTGGTAATTTATCAAATATTTACATAAATTCACAAAAAATGAAAAGGTAACCATGAGATACCAATGACCATATCTCAGTACTTTTATACTATTCTCCACTGCTTTACAACACACGAAAACTAACAACCCCAAATATAAGAAAAAATTCACAGCACATGTAAGTCATTTTATCAAATAGTTGGTGGGCATTTTATCAAACTGTCCAGTTTTGCTAAAACTTAAATGTGAGAAAGAGCAATGAATTATGGNATGAAAAGGTAACCATGAGATACCAATGACCATATCCTAGTACTTTTACACTATTCTCCACTGTTTTACAACACACGAAAACTAACAACCCCAAATATAAGAAAAAATTCATAGCACATGTAAGTCATTTTATCAAATAGTTGGTGGGCATTCTATCAAACTGTCCAGTTTTGCTAAAACTTAAATGTGAGAAAGAGCAATGAATTATGGAAGTAAAATTAACAAATGGCTATAGTCTAACAACTATTATTAATAAATGAATTTTACTGATATGTTTAGAGTAACAAATTACTCATGATCAACATGTGGAATTCATATCAGATTGACAAATAAACAAGTTTGTATAGTTGAACATGCACGAGAGAGAAAATAGAGATGTACTGACTTGAATTTTGGANGGAATTTTACTGATATGTTTAGAGTAACAAATTACTCATGATCAACATGTGGAATTCAGATCAGATTGACAAATAAACAAGTTTGTATAGTTGAACATGCACGAGAGAGAAAATAGAGATGTACTGACTTGAATTTTGGAGTAATCAATACGTTTCTGCATCTCTTCAAACCGAACAACATCTTGATATGTGTACTTCTAGATTCGAAGATATCGGTGAAGGCAATGAGTCACAGAAGAGATGCAGTGCTTACAACAGCAAAGATTGCAATCAATACAAANCCGAACAACATCTTGATATGTGCACTTCTAGATTCGAAGATATCGGTGAAGACAATGAGTCACAGAAGAGATGCAGTGCTTACAACAGCAAAGATTGCAATCAATACAAAATATTTTATTTTCATTCTTTGGAAGATCAATGTTATGAACACAAGCATCAAAAAACTTGTTGTGTAATAAATTACTCAGCCACTCTAGTTTTCTTTTATTCATCGGTTGGGCGGGACCAACTATTCGAATTATGAATTATGGAAGCAATGAATTACTTTCAGACTATTCGAGCTCTTCTTCTACNGAACTTGTTGTATAATAAATTACTCAGCCACTCTAGTTTTCTTTTATTCATCTGTTGGGCGGGACCAACTATTCGAATTATGAATTATGGAAGCAATGAATTACTTTCAGACTATTCGAGCTCTTCTTCTACTTCTACCTCCACTTCCTCTTCAATTTCTTTGTATTCTCGTCATTGACGTCAGGGTTGGCTTCAGAAACTTTACCTTTACTGACGGATTGGTGATGGTCATAGAGGTGATTGGGGATGTGAGGAGAAAATGAGAAGTGATTTTTAAAAGTAAAAGTTAATTATTTTTACTTTTTTTATAACTTATTTAAGTGTTAAAATTACTTTTNGGGTTGGCTTCAGAAGCTTTACCTTTACTGACAGATTGGTGATGGTCATAGAGGTGATTGGAGAAGTGAGGAGAAAATGAGAAGTGATTTTTAAAAGTAAAAGTTAATTATTTTTACTTTTTTTATAACTTATTTAAGTGTTAAAATTACTTTTACTTGTGTTTTTAATTAGTTAAGCCAAACATTACTTTTAAAAAAAAAGTATTTTTCATAAGTTAAAAGTTTCAAAAATACTTTTTTTTTAAGTCATGTCAAACACACTCTTAAAATCTAGTATGCATGTGAAATAGCATATTCAAGTACTAGTTGATAAGGGTAAAATTCTAGATACTTTTTCTTAAGTTATATCAAACACACTCTTAAAATCTAGCATGCACGTGAAATAACATATTCAAGTACTAGTTGATAAGGGTAAAATTCTGAGCATGGGCCACCAACAAGCTCGAAGCCCAAAAAATCATGAGGAACAAGAGGAAAAGTCCATTGGCCCAACCGGGAGTGCCTCCTACTAACCCAAGAAAGAGAGCTGAAAGGACGAGCCCCAAAGGACACCTGAGGGGCAGTGGTCCAAATCCAGCCCAATCAGGTACCAGCTAAAGAATAGTTCGAAGAAGAGAAATCGGATCTCTGCCTAGGAGTCGACCCGCCGTGCCACGCGTCCAGAGGACAGGGAGACTATCTTTGAAACCTGCGATGACTACATCTTCCAGCGGGCAGAAGAAGGTGGAACATAACGCCCTAGAGATCGTGGGTACAGTGGTGCCGGCTGGAAAAGGCTTTTTGCAGGCCAATGACAGGAGGTCCCCACAGGATCAATAAAAGGTAGAAGAAACTGCAAGAAATCACAAAAAAAAAAGACGACTCATATATAAATATAACAGTACCCTACAAAAATGGAGATCCCCAAGAAAGAGAGCATTGAGAAACCGAGTCCATACTATAAGAAAAATTCCAACTCCTGTAAAGGTCCAGCGCCTGAATCTCGCCTGTGTACATCAGAGCTTTAATATACAATATTAAGGAGCAAGAGATTCCATTACAATGGACGTACCCTCGATCTATCGACTGAGACAAACCACTTATCTTCTTCTTTTCCGCTTTGATTAGATAGTCCAACCAACTAAACTCGCTCTGACACCAAACCCAATAACTTCACTTACGTTAGCCTTGGGCTGTGATTTTCGAGACCCCATCACTAGTCATTACTCATGTCTAAAGACACCTTTAACACAAAAAAATTGTCAAGCAAATGCGGTATTTAATAATGTCTTAAATAAAAAAAGTGCAATGATTGAAATGAAAAAAATCATATCATGTTAATAAAATTCGAAAATCCCTATGAACTTAAATTAACACTATTACAAAATTATTCTGCCATATATTTCTTCATTGCGACTCTTCTTTCTAATGAGTGTTCATTTTTTAACCTCTTGTTAAATCTAATGAATAAATTGTCTAGTTCACATTGAACTACAAATCAAATTTCCCCCCCCCCCCCAAAAAAAAAATAAAAAAAAAAAGCCTACTTGAACTAACATTGTTCAACAAATATGCTTGTAACTGCAACGACAATTGATTTAAATTATCTGTTACGATGACTTTTTGAATGCTACAGAAATATTCTCACGCTGCAATTAAACAAAATTAACAAAATTAAAATTTCACTCCTTTAAAAAAAATGATTTAATTGACATTTTTATTGTTTCGGTGTCTATTTCGCACTATTTAAGTATTTAAAAAATATGAACATTAGTAAGGGGAAAGCGATGCAAATAAGGAAAAAAAAATTGATAATTGGTTTAGATTTTTTTTTTTTGCTTTTGTGCAATTAGTTTCACTTATTTTTTTATTGGTCATTGATATTACTTGTTATTTTTTATTAGTGATTAGCTTGACTTTGAATTTTTTTATTTTTTTGGTACAATTGATCACTTGTTATTTTTTGTTGTTAATTAGTTTGGCTTTGATTTTTTTTTTTATTAGGGATTAGCTTGACTTTGAATATCTACACCCTGAATTTTTTTTTTAATATTTAAATATTTTCTCATCTATACANTTTTTTTTTTATTAGGGATTAGTTTGGCTTTGATTTTTTTTTTATTAGGGATTAGCTTGACTTTGAATATCTACACCCTGAAATTTTTTTTTAATATTTAAATATTTTCTCATCTATACAATCATACAAATGTTTTGAGTNATTTTTTTTTTATTAGGGATTAGCTTGACTTTGAATATCTACACCCTGAATTTTTTTTTTAATATTTAAATATTTTCTCATCTATACAATCATACAAATGTTTTGAGTAAATAAGTTCAATTAGAATCGTCAAGATAAATAAATAATGTTAAGAGAGAAAGTATGAGATAATATTGTTTGTCTTGACGATTCTAATTAGACATTCATTCAATCTCGTCTATATATAGAGAGAGAAAGAGAGAGTATGAGAGATTGAAAAGTGTGTTTAAAATGTTTGTGAAGGCGAGAGAGAGAATTATATACGTATGAGAGTTGANTATTGTTTGTCTTGACGATTCTAATTAGACATTCATTCAATCTCGTCTATATATAGAGAGAGAAAGAGAGATTGAAAAGTGTGTGTTTAAAATGTTTGTGAAGGCGAGAGAGAGAATTATATACGTATGAGAGTTGAGTGTATGAGATAGAGAGAGAAAGATAGTTATATTAGAAATAAAAGTCTTAAAATTTTAAAAAGAATAAAAGTCTAATTAGAATCGTCGGATCAATAACCCTCAAACGACCTGAGCCGTGAAAAGTTCAAGACCAAAAAAATCTAACTACTTTATTATAATATAAGTACCATCGGTAAACTCTTGGCATGNGGAATAAAAGTCTAATTAGAATCGTCGGATCAATAACCCTCAAACGACCTGAGCCGTGAAAAGTTCAAGACAAAAAAATCTAACTACTTTATTATAATATAAGTACCATCGGTAAACTCTTGGCATGCTTCCATTTCATCTACTGGCTATTTGCTTCCCGACAATGTTGCAGTCCTATATCAGACCGACCAATCTTCCCAANTGCTTCCATTTCATCTACCGGCTATTTGCTTCCCGACAATGTTGCAGTCCTATATCAGACCGACCAATCTTCCCAATTAATTAACAACCCAAATGGACAGAAATAGTTTCTTCTGTTTTGATTTCAATATCTACCATTTTCCATCTACTATACCGTATTCATTGACTACAATCCCATATACACATTTCAAATCTCCTGAGATCCGCTTTCTTGTAGCAGCAGAGCAGTATACCCATCATTCTTTTCCAAAGAATAACGCTGTCCAGCATTTGTTGGCACCGGACTGATGCCTGAGAATGTCAACATTTTTGCCCATCATTAAACATGCCATTGTCACCGAAGAGAATTCTTCCTATTAGCAAGGCCATCCATCAATCTGTTGTAAGTTGCTATGTCAGGTATAAACCCTTTATCTAGCATCTCATCTACCAAAACTTCCCCCTCCTTTCTTTTACCTTCCCTTGTATACCCAATTACCAAAATGTTGTAGGTCATGCCATCCGAATCCAAACCCTTTCTGGATGCCAATAATCTCAATTTATTTGCTTCTACTGTTCTTCCAGCATCACACATATCTCGAAGAAGACAGTTATAAGTCACACTATCCATAATAATACCACTGTTGAGCATCTTTTCAATTAATTTGTATGCCTCTTCGGTTCTTCCCAGTCTCCTTAAGCCATCAATCAAAGTAGTGCAAGCAATTAAGCTTGGAGCATTCCCTTTCATCCACAACTCATCTACAATCTCCATCGCCTTCACCACATTCCCTTCCCCACACAAAATATCAATTAGAGCAAAATAATCAAATTTACTGGGCAGAACACCATTTGTTGAGAAATCAATCATAATATCACAAGCCTTGGAAACCATTCCTTCTCTACAAAGCCCATCAACCAAAATTTCACAGGTCACAGTTGAAAACTGACACCCCAACTCAATCATCTCATATGCCATCCCAATGCCTTCATCAAACTTCCTCTCCCTGAAGAACCCCTTAATCAAAGTATTAAAACTAACTACATTAGGAACACAACCCTTATCCCTCATCTCCTTAAACATTTCCAAAGCCAACTCAAATTGCGAATTCCGACAATAACCACTAATCAAAATATTAAATGTAATTACATCCGGCTTAACCCGGTCCTTAATCATCCTACTATAAAATTCCAAAGCCTTTTCATACTCTCTATATTTCACAAAACCATGAATCAGAGTATTGTATATACCAACATTAGGCTTCCCATCAATCATTTTTTTCATGCTATCAAAAATAAACAAAGCATCATCAAATCTACCAACATTGCAATAACAGCTAATAGCAAAACGGAAAATGGGTTCGGTTCTTGGGCAAGAAAAAATACCGTCAGAGCAAGGGCAGGGGTTGGAGACGATGAATTCGAGGATTGAGCGGAGACTGTCCAAACGGTGGGTGATAGAAAGGGTACGGACCATCCATTCAAAAGTGGAGTGGTCGTGGCGAAAGGAATCGAGCGAGGCAGCATAGAGGAAGACATGGAAATCGAAATGGGTGAATTTGGGGTGGTGGTGGAGGTGCGTTTTGAGGAAAGAGAGTAGGTCTTGGGGAGTGAAGGAGGTTTTGAGGTGGGTTTGGAGGAAGTGGGTGAGTTGGGTATGGGTTTGGGGGGTGGGTATGGAGAGAGAGAGGGTGGGTAGAGGTGTTAGAGAGGTGGCTTTTGGCGGTGGAGAAAGCAGTGGGGGTGGTGGTGAGTGACGGGGGCGCGGTGGTTTGAGGGTAGTGGGTCTAAGGAGTTTCTTCAACGGCATCTTGCTAGGCTGTCACCCAGAAAGGTGTTGTTTTTTTTTTGATCCAATAGAAAGGTGTCGTTCAGTTCTATGATTTGTACCTTGCTCGCTGAAGGAGAGCGATCCGAATTCGCGATCCATCTTCTACGGTTCAAATAGTATCCACACTTTTCTTTCTATCCCCTTCTTGTCGGATAATTGAAGACTATCGGGGCATATTTGTTTCGGGTATTACATAGTATTATAGTGTTTCGGGTATTAAATAGTATTATAGGGTGAGATAGAAGGAAAAAGTAATTAGAGCCCACTTATTATCTTGTTTGACATTTTACAAGTAGTATTATTTTTTGTTTAGTAATATTGGCCTAATTTGAATAATGTCTCTTAAACCTTGTAGGTGATATTATCTTTCGGAGTTAAATGAAATGATGGTACAAAAGATAAAATGACACAAATACCCACTTTTGTCAAGAATTCAAATATAAATAATTTATTTTAATTTTTTTTTTGTATTATGTTTAGGTGTACGGTGTCATCGTTTTTTTTTTAAATTATTTTGAATTTTAAAAAATTATATTATATTTAAGCATACGGTGTCACCGATTTTTTTTAATTTTTTAAAAACTTTTTAAAATTTTTTTTGTTGTATTATGTTTAAGCGTATGATGTCATCGTTTTTTTAAAAAATTATNAAAATTTTTTTTTTGTATTATGTTTATACGTACAGTGTCATCGTTTTTTTTAAAATTATTTTAAATTTTAAAAAATTATATTATATTTAAGCATACGGTGTCACCGATTTTTTTTAATTTTTTAAAATTTTTTTTGTTGTATTATGTTTAAGCGTATGATGTCATCGTTTTTTTAAAAAATTATTTTGATTTTTTTTCTTATATTATGTTTCAGCGTACGGTGTTACCGATTTTTTTATAAATCTTTTTCTTGTATTATATTTAAGCGTACAACATCACCGATTTTTTTTAAAATTTTTTTTATGATATCAGCAATTCATAGTGTAGCAACTTTATTTTTTATGTTGATTTTTTACATTATCCAAAAATTTTTTTGTATGGTTTGTCATATCATATATTATACCAAATATTGTGCAAAAATGTTACACAAACGGGATAATGTAATAGATGATATTAANAAGCGTACGGTGTTACCGATTTTTTTATAAATCTTTTTCTTGTATTATATTTAAGCGTACAGTATCACCGATTTTTTAAAAAATTTTTTTTTATGATATCAGCAATTCATAGTGTAGCAACTTTATTTTTTATGTTGATTTTTTACATTATCCAAAATTTTTTTTGTATGGTTTGTCATATCATATATTGTACCAAATATTGTGCAAAAATGTTACACAAACGGGATAATGTAATAGATGATATTAAAGGTAAAATAATATATTTGTTATATAAAATATGATCGAATAGATGGTTCTTTGTGGGATCTATTATAGTACTTATTAAACAAATAAATATGAGAGGGTATTAAAATACTTCCTATTACCAGTACGAATTTCATTGGTATTTAAAATATAATATATTTTCAATACCATGTTAAATCATCCAAACAAACGTGCCCTCAGTATATTANATACTTATTAAACAAATAAATATGAGAGGGTATTAAAATACTTCCTATTACCACTACTAATTTCATTGGTATTTAAAATGTAATATATTTTCAATACCATGTTAAATCATCCAAACAAACGTGCCCTCAGTATATTAAAACGGCGCTCAACTTTCAAGATTAATTGTCGTGTTTAACCTTTTTTTTTTCTTTTTTTTTTTATGCCAAACGATTTAGATCTGGACCATCTGGTGCAGATTCACCCGCCCGTTGGAGTAACCCATATATCCGTAGGTTTCAAATAATACCGACTCAGCGCCGTCATTGGAAAATCACTTGAGCTCGACTTGAAGACATCTCTCTCTCTCTCTCTCTCTCTCTCTCTCTCCAGGTAATCCCATTTGTTGAATCTGTTCAGTTGAAGTTGTCTATAGAATTTCTTGCGTTTTAGTTCTTTTTGTACTTGATCATGGAAGCCAACGCCTAAATATTTCGTTTCGGCTTTACCAATTAGCTTGCCCAGAAGGTGTTTGTTGAAATGTATAAGAAACTGATCACCTAAACGCGCGCGCACACACACACACTCACAGTCGGAAATGATGAGAATGATTTAATGAGTCTTGGTGATTTGTTCCTGCTAGTTAAGGACCACACTTCCAGCTGGTTGCTCCACTTCAAATGAGTATTCAGACACTGCAAGCCGCTTCAATCTCATGGGACATCAGGTCAATTGACAGAGCTTTAAAGTCATCAATTTACTGTCCCAACAACAAGCAAAAGTTCATGACAAGTGCTCCTTTTCCGTTTGCCAGTATGTTTGCTTCGAACTTCATCTGAATTTACACTTCTGTAAGTGTCATTGAGTTTTTGTAATAAGTGAATTGGATCTTTCCTTTGCCGGTAACAGGACCTCAAAGACTTCTAATCCAATGTGGGGTTCGGTTTCGCCCTTGTATCGACATACACAAGGTCTGTTGTTTTTTAATTTTTGTCATTTTACGTTATACAGGGGGTATGCAGTCACGTGTATTTATAGTTTTTGTGTGGTGAATTGGTAAAATTTTCTTTAAGTATTTGTTTTGTGGTTGATATTGTAGAGTTGGATTCACATTTTTGCTGCATGTTTTGCCTTCAGGTAAGACTAGTGTAAATGTTGTCAATCTGGTTCCTGGAAATTTTACAAAATATTAAGAAAAAAAACCACAAGATAAGAAATGCACCAAGAATTTGTGTTGTGGCACTAAGCCAATGTTCTGGGGCTATTCAGCTTTCAGCTTGGAGAATTTACTAAGAAATGGACACAAAAATAGTTTCCCCAAATTGTGGGAAAACTCTTTCACTAGATTCTAGTAGCACCCAAGAGTGCACGAGAGAAACCCACTATCTAACACCTCACAAATCTCTCTTAAGATTAGATTATATATACAAACCACACCAATCTTTTAAAAAAAGAAGAAAAAGGTTCTTCTGTTACACATGGTTATCTCTAAAAACTATTTTAAATAATTTCATTCTAGGTTTCCAAAAATGCTTCGCCAAAAAGGAAACCCCCATTTAGTCTACGGAAATAAGAACAGGGGCTAGTGATTTTGGCCGTCACCAAAGGGGCTCCATTTGTACACCCAAGTATCATAAAGTTGACACTTTAGTTTGGGGCTATCATGTAAATGAGCCTGAAACATGCTTCACATGCCAAATGTGGAAATCTAATCACACCATATATATTGCTTGACTATTGTGTAAGTGTGTTTGTCGCATCATGCCCACTGTGTTTTCTTAATGAAGTGTTGGAGAAACAAAATTGCACCAAAAATAAATAAATATTTTTTGTCCAACATCTGAGAATGTCCATTGCAATCGACTTAAATGATTATCCTTTACCTTTTTTGTTAGAATACCCACACCTTTCATCCAAGGGGACAATAATTTTGTTTCACTTTTATGGAATTTTGTAATTTTTGTAGTTTCTCCCTCGTTGCTATAATAATGCCCCCCCCCAAAAAAAAAAAAAAAAACCTAGTATAAGTTCCCTATGGGTCTTTCCACTTAATCTCAATTGGTTTTGAATTGGATGTTTTAAGCTGTAGTGAGAGATACACGCGCAAAGAAGGGTCAGAATTTATCCCAATTCAGCATAACAAAAATCCAAAACTAGTGTATGAATTGTGGGTCCCTCCATTCATCACTAGTTGGATTTAGGTTGCTTTATTGTGAAACAAAGATTTGGGTTGTCAAATGGTTGTTTGGTGGTCCATATAGGTCAAACTAGTGTAAAGTGTGTTCAGACCATGTGACGAAATATAATATTTGATTGCTAACTTCCAGGTCTTTTACTTGACTTCAGGGAAAAGTGAAGCAAATTGTTGGGTCCACCCTTCTTGATGCAGAGGAAGGCAATTCAACTCTTGTCACAAATTTTGAATCTGACAAATCACCAGCAGAATATGCATATCTCTATAAAGAAGATGGACTTCTTGGTGGTCATGTAATAATGCTTGGAGCTGATCCATTGAGCAAATCAGCATCCATTGAAGCATTGCATGCATATCCTGGTAGGGCTCTGGTTACTGTCTCTCCTGGCAGTCTGTACCCCTATGATATATACATATTGATTTGTTCTTTAACATGAGCATTCCTACTCTTAGAGANGTTGAGCAAATCAGCATCCATTGAAGCATTGCATGCTTATCCTGGTAGGGCTCTGGTTACTGTCTCTCCTGGCAGTCTGTACTCCTATGATATATACATATTGATTTGTTCTTTAACATGAGCATTCCTACTCTTAGAGAATTACGAACAAATTCCAAGAGAGAGAGCAGTTAAAGACATGTCAATGTGCTAATTCATAAAGTGCATACACTGTGTTGCTCCATGAAATCTCGCTGTCATTAATTAGAACTATTATACTAGAGGCTAATACAGAATGTCAGAATCTATGAAAATAATTAGTTTACAACAACGTATAGCTACATTTTTCATATATTTTGAAAAATGAAATTTAACAATTGGAACTTGAAACATAAGTTTGTTCAAATTTGATAAAATATTTCTGTTGGCAAATTCAGTTAGTCTTTCTAGAATTCAATGGCAATGCACTGCAGATTTTGCTAAAATTACCAGTTTGGATGATTTGGAATTAGTGTTAAATAGTCAATCAACATATTTGTTTCTTTTATTTAATTATTTTGAGGAAACCTTCTTGGGTTGATGAATTTTACCCCGACACTTCAGTATGAATGTTGGTCATAAATTTGATTCTGAAATCATCTAAAATACGCAACAACTTCTGATATTGCCTCAAGTTGATTTTCTGTGATTTGTGTCTCGTTAAATTATCATCCACTTGCATAGCAGTTTTCTATATAATCACTAAAAAATTATACATGCTCATGCATCCTAAGTGATATTAACCTCAAGTCTCTATTCTTGATAGAATGTCTGAACTTACAGATTTTTCCTCTGCTGAACTTACTGCGAGGATGATAACATCTAGGCGGTTTGCAAGTTGGAGGTGGTATCAGTTCAAGCAATGCTTTGAGTTACATAGAGGAAGGGGCCAGCCATGTCATTGTCACCTCAGTATGTTCTCAGTGATTACATATTGAAGACAAAACATGTGTTTTAACAACTTTTTTCTCTCTCATCCTTTCAGTGCATTGTGTTTTAAGTTTCACATACGACCAGAATATTGGATTTGGTGAAAGGAGGGCATCTCTGCCTGATTTATATGCTTTGGTATTGTTGCAATGGTGTTACATAATTGTGTCGCGGGAAACTCTGGAAAGGGACTGCCATGTTGGTTGACTCATAAACTCTGGCCCTGTTTAACTGTACTGTGTAGTGTGTATAACCTGTTTTCATGAAGTTTGGTATAGCCACATATGCATTTTCTATGATCTTTTACTGGAGCCTTGAAATTGAATAGGCAGAATGATGTCAGTCTTCTATGCATATCATGGTGTATAATATTCTTCCTATTTCTGAAGTATGTAATTACATAGTCAACTCTNTGCATTTTCTATGATCTTTTACTGGAGCCTTGAAATAGAATGGGCAGAATGATGTCAGTCTTCTATGCACATCATGGTGTATAATATTCTTCCTATTTCTGAAGTATGTAATTACATAGTCAACTCTGTATAGCTCAAAGTGAACGGTGGATTGGTTTTAGTAGTTGAACCTGTGGGTACTCATAATCATAACTAAGTGAAGCATATTTGATCAAACTAGAAACAGTAGGATGGAGGGTCATCTTTTGGTTTTGTGGATTTTCAGATAGTTCCTCAGCTCTGAAAGAAATATCTAGGATTTTTTTCCCTTCTAGTTTAGAGTATAGTTTGTGAGAATGGATTTTCTAGAAATTTGGATGTACTCTACATAGGAAACCCGACTAACTTGTAACTTATTTTGTGGAATATTGTTGACTCAACACTTGTTATTAATTTCATTGCAGTATGTATTCAATAATGGAAAAATGGACCTTGAGAGGCTAAAAGAACTTGTGGGTGTTGTTGGAAAGCAGAGGCTTGTCTTGGATCTTAGTTGCAGGAAGAAGGTACATTGTTCTAAAGATAAATTATACAAACTGCTGGAGAATTTTGGAACCAGTGAAGATTATGTTATTGACTTAATGTGCAGGAGGGGAAATATGCCATCGTTACTGATAGATGGCAGAAGTTCAGTACTGTATATCTTGAGGAGAAAGTATTGGATTCTCTTGCTTCTTATGCGGATGAGTTTCTGGTCCATGGAGTTGATGTTGAAGGACAAAAGTAAGTCCTATAACTATCATTGGTTCCCTGTACCAATTCCTTAACGAATGTATGATGCCTTTACTGCTCGGTTCTGCCATGCTGTAATTTTTATTTTCTATAATGCTTTCTGTAATTATGGTAGTTCGTGATTCATGAATTTAGTCAGCTGGCATCAATCATCATTGAGAACTGAAATTTTTATCCATGAAAAGATTTATGGTCACTGGCTAGCCAAATACTGACCCTTTTCAATTCTTTACAATGGAATTTAACCTGAAATCTGCATTTTAATTTTCCATTTATTTTATCAAGTTGATCCGATTTCAAGTACTTTTTTGTTGCAGACTGGGAATTGATGAAGAGCTTGTAGCATTGCTCGGCCGCTACTCGCCGGTGTGTAACAAATAATTTCTGATCTGAGATTATATTGTGTATTTCTCGTTTGATTCTGAGACTAGTTTGCATCCTTGCTTCCTATGCCCATTGTATCAAGCTGAGTGCAGTAAATGAATTTTAACTAGTACACACTGTATCTAGTTTTTGGACCCGCTATTACTACACTTTTTATCTAGAAATGTTAAAATGTTCAATTTACAAACTGATGCAAAAAGATTAGAGCCTTCCTAATGATTACTCAGTCCACATTAAGTCTTTAGGTCCTGCCTAAATATGATGACCAGTAGAAAACTGACGAATTTTCCAAAGCCAGACTGGCCACTTATTCATTGTGATTGAACATTCTTGTTGGTTTGAATGGAAGTCTATGGTTTAATACGCTACTTTAACCATGGAATCAATGCTTGCAGCTACTTGAGATCATCACATTGTTATACCTATTGCATTGATATATGGCCTTATGTGCATGCCAANCGCTACTTTAACCATGGAACCAATGCTTGCAGCTACTCGAGATCATCACATTGTTATACCTATTGCATTGATATATGGCCTTATGTGCATGCCAACTAACTTGTACAAATTGTTGATTTACGGGGATGTGTGCCAGATTCCGGTGACATATGCTGGTGGTGTTACTCTAATGGCTGATTTGGAGAGGATAAAAGTTGCAGGGAGGGGGCGTGTGGACATTACTGTGGGTAGTGCTCTTGATATTTTTGGTGGCAACTTGGCGTACAAAGATGTGGTAGCTTGGCATGCTCAGCAGGAGGCTTTGGCAGTTTAGCTTCTCCTTTCGTTTCTACTTGTATTTTCAATATGACTTCATGATGGCTCAAATCTAGATTGATTATGCATAGAAACTGGATGCATTATTCATCATGCCTTACATCTAGATTGATTCATGTTGCCGTTTTTCATGAGATGTATAATTTAGAAGCTTTATCTATTATACAAATTTGAAAATAGAATGATGTTCTGAAAAATTCTCTCAAGCAAAAGAGTACAGAGATATTCTCCTCGTGTGCTTCAGCCTATGCCCTCCAAAACAAACGTGATTTTCCAGGGAGCTTTGCTGCTCATGGGTACAGAGATATCCTCTCAACCAGCATACTTGAAAACTGGCAACCACAAAACCCCCTCGATTGAGGATCTAACGGATGGAGAAAACTTGTCTCGGAGCTCTCCGAGTTGATCGTCGATGCCGTGACTTTGAACTATGATGGTAATTTGGCTTTTCATGATTTCCTGCAAAATAAGCGAGAAACTATGGTGAGCAGGGTTATTGACATGGTGTTAGTATAAGAATCTTCGACGATCAATCAGTTCTATCTGAGTTATTGGATTTCAGATAATGTTCATTCTTGTATGCTCAAGTGTTGTACCAAATGTATATGGAGATTATAGATAACTCGCCATTTTACATAGAGATTGGTTTTGATGAATTAATAGATAGCTTTGTAGGAGATCATGATGGACTTATGTGGATTGGTCGTTGTGTTCCCACCTATCCTACACATTGGATCAAGGTTAACACTGCGAAGCTATAGTTAAGGTGCATGAGATCTTACTGTCTAGCCGTTGATACTCCACATCTTGACGGATAATTCAGTTTTTTCGGGTTTTTGTACTGAAACCCCATGGGTTCTTGTTCGAATCTTACCCATGTTTGAGTCCTTATTGTGCATTAGGTTACAAGATGTGCTCAAAATTACTTTACTATCCTCCCAATTACTATCTAATCTGTTAGAATAATCAAAAGGGTGAAGGAAAAGCCTACAATCTANACCGCGACTTTGAACTATGATGGTAATTTGGCATTTCATGATTTCCTGCAAAATAAGCGAGAAACTATGGTGAGCAGGGTTATTGACATGGTGTTAGTATAAGAATCTTCGACGATCAATCAGTTCTATCTGAGTTATTGGATTTCAGATAATGTTCATTCTTGTATGCTCAAGTGTTGTACCAAATGTATATGGAGATTATAGATAACTCGCCATTTTACATAGAGATTGGTTTTGATGAATTAATAGATAGCTTTGTAGGAGATCATGATGGACTTATGTGGATTGGTCGTTGTGTTCCCACCTATCCTACACATTGGATCAAGGTTAACACTGCGAAGCTATAGTTAAGGTGCATGAGATCTTACTGTCTAGCCGTTGATACTCCACATCTTGACGGATAATTCAGTTTTTTCGGGTTTTTGTACTGAAACCCCATGGGTTCTTGTTCGAATCTTACCCATGTTTGAGTCCTTATTGTGCGTTAGATTACAAGATGTGCTCAAAATTACTTTTACTATCCTCCTAATTACTATCTAATCTGTTAGAATAATCAAAAGGGTGAAGGAAAAGCCTACAATCTACTATACTAGTAGAAAAATCAAATTAGAGGACAGGACTTATAAAGCTTGTCCTTTATAGTTTTTATTATTTAGGCTTTTTATTTGTTTAATTACAAACATCTATATAATAAAGTAGTTTACAAATCTCAAAAGATAAACAAAATAATTTTTGCTATTCGCGGTTGATATATTTTTAAATTTTATTTTAAAGTTAATCTAACGGCTAGTATTAACACACTAAATTTAATAGAAAAAATAGACCCTTAATAGTGTGTTTAAAATGACTTTTTAAAAATACTTTTAAAAATTATTTCTTATAAATATTTTTTTAAAAAAATAGTGTTTGAAACTGCCCCACCACTACCTCTACCTCCACTACCACCCCCACCACCGCACCACCACCACCATTGCCGCCACCTCCATCGTTGTCGCCGCCATCTCCACTATCATTGTTGTCGCCGCCGCCATCACCACGCCACCACCACCACCGCCGTCATCGGCATGCCCACCACCATCATCAAAACCACCCTCACCAGTGCCACCACCACCGTCGCAGCCATCACCACCATTATCGTCGTCGCCACCGTCACTGTCACCACCATCGCTACCGCCTTCGCCGCCACCACGGTCATTGCCACTCATCACAACTATTACTGTCTCCTACCACCACCACTGTCACCCACCATCTCTCACCCCCACTACAAACTAGTGTCGCTGTCGTTGCCACCACCACCACCCCCACTGTCGCTGTCGTCGCCACGCCCACCGCCTCCACCACTACCACGCCCACCCCCACCATCACCTCCATTGCCGCAACCCTCGCCGCCACCACTGGCATCACGGTCATTGTCACCCACCACAATCACCACTGTCTCTTACCATCACTACTGTCGCCCACCACCACTCACCCCCATTACAAACCGATACTTAAATTCTTTTATCTCTTTCTCTATGTTTGTGATTTGATTTTAGATATAACTACAAATATATTTATTATTTTTTATTTTTTATTTCTCTGTGCTTCACATGCAATAACTAATATATCTGTATTTGATCAAATTCCTCCAATCTACATAGTCACTTTCATCATTATTGCTCATATATAATTACTCAATTGAAATTGGAAAAGGTTTGTTTAATCCAATATTGAATGACTTTGCCTAATTCTAAAATTGAAGGGATAAAATAAGGATTTGATGGATAATTTTGCATAATATTAAAACTACATCAGTTGAGACAAAATGATTCCGCACATAGTGGACTAAGATATCCTTTAATATATTTTCTCTTTATTTTATTATTGGATGAATTATTTACCATGAATTCAAGTAGAACTCGTTGTTCTTTGTACACTAACAATAGATGATCGGCCAATAACTAAAAAGACTATTCAAAGTAGATTTGCCAATGGATTGATTTTTTTATCTGAATTCGATCCAAACACAAATTCGATTAGTTAGATATGAATTGATATTTTTTTTATCGATTATTCGAATTCAATATCTTATATTTTACGGATTTGAATTTGGATATATTTATATTTGATTTGAAATATTTATATATTTTTTGTATAAATATTAAAAAAAATCAAGTGATTATTTGAAAAAAAAGAGGTAAAATTTAGATTTAATTTGTTAAAAATTAAGTAAATTAATTTATTTGGATTGGATCGAATTGTTAATAAATTCGGATATAAATCACAAAAATTAAATCCATCGAATTATCGAATCAAATTCGAATTCGAGCTAATTCAAAGGATTTAGATCCGTACATTATTAGATAATACAGAATATTAGAAAAAATAACTCAGCAAATTGGTATATCTTATGGCTATTAAGGGAAACACTAGGATAATGGAACAAATTTATAATTTTTTGTCACTAAGTTATAATTTTTTGAATTGCAAGTTAAGATTACAAAAATTATTATCAATCTTAAATATTATGATCGATCATAAAAATTATATTTTTTAAAATTTAAATTATAACTCGTAAAAATAAAAAAATTCATTCAAGCAATTAATGATCGATCTTATATTACCTACCAATTTTTTTTTTTGGTTAGCTTAGAAGTTATAAATTTTTTATTTTTTAATTTATTTGAACTAATTTATGTACATTTGAACTATTTCTTTTTTTAGATTTAATCAAAAAAAAAAATGATTCACGTCAACGCTAAGATAGGGACGAAGAAAATTTGCTGTGGCCAAATTTGAACTCGTGACAGCTTTTAAAGGCAGTTAGAAGTGTTCCCGACCACTCCCGCAGTGATACTCCTCTCTCTACAAACAGAATTTCAAACTCAACCTTGAGAACAGAAATGCTTCTCTGCAAACCATCCATGACTACTTCATCTTTCTCTTTCATAAACCCTAAGTCACCCCCGTCGACGTCGGTGAAGGCCATGGCCACTGGCAAAATCTCCTCGAGTACTCCACAGAAAAGAACCAGAAGCGATTCCGCTTTTGAAGCTCGAGTCTCTCTCGTCCTCGCTCTCGCCTCCCAGACCTCCTCTCTCTCTCAGAGACGTAAATGTTCACACCACGAAAACATTTACTACGTCAACATGTTCGATTATGTTCAAAATCATTGATTCGTTTAAGTTTCGACTTTGATTCACATGAGTTTATTTTTTGGGGGGTTTCACTCTTGTAGTTTTGATGGATTTGGCGACTGAGACTGCGAAATACGTGTTCCCGCAGAGGAGGTTTGAAGCTCGGAATTTGGAAGAAGCGTTGATGTCAGGTGTAGTCAACGTCTTGATGGATTTGGTTTCTGTTTGAGGAACTTCGAATTTTAATTTGTTGTGTTTAAGAACCGATTATTATTTTTTGTTTGTCTTGGCAGTTCCCGATCTTGAAACGGTAGAATTCAAGGTTTTGAGCCGCACAGACCAGTATGAGATAAGAGAAGTTGAGGTATGAATTCTAGACTTCTATGTCACTTCCAACCCTTCCCCCCCCCACCCCGCGGGGTAGCGTGTGTGCTTGTGAATTTCCTCAGTAGGAAAGCTGAATGCACACACCATGAGCCGAGATCGACTTTGCACAATCATTTGGGAACATACAGCTATGTACTTTGTTTTTCATGAGCATATCTGTGTATCTGAAATGGGATGGTGACTGTGAAACAGCCTTACTTTATAGCTGAGACAACAATGCCTGGGAAGTATGGATTTGATTTTAATGGTGCATCTCGATCTTTCAATGTATTGGCGGAGTATCTGTTTGGTAAGGTAGTTAAAAGTGTGAAATATTTTTTTCCCCAAAATTACATTGTTGTGAAATCACCTTTATTGCGAGCTTATGCTTTCGTGCTATTTCCAGAATACAATGAAGGAGAAAATGGAGATGACTACACCAGTTTTTACTCGTAGGATTGAATCTGATGGGGAGAAAATGGAGATGACGACCCCTGTCATAACTACAAAGGTAAGACCTTTGAATGGAGCAGTTCTTATTATTGTCTATTCTGTTGTAGTGGTAATTGTTCAAGTTTTGTGCATGTCTTTTATTACTCCTTGTGTGTAAGTGTACACAAAAATTATACTGATGATCGAATGCTCCTTGCAGCCTCTAGTTTTCACCCTTTCCTTTTGTTATTACTGGTAATCCTGATAAAAAATTTAAGGTCTTGAAATCTTGTGAATGCTCACAAGTGTTTCAGAGTCTATCCTGTACTCAAGGATGAGAATTTGAGATCCTAGAAAAAAGAAACTAGGCTAATGTGACAGAAACTCAATGTAGGCCTTGGCATGTAGTTTTTTGGCTACTTTCTTATACGATTTTTATTTGATTAAAAAAAAGACCATAACTTCATAGATTCAACCATGGACCATGTACTCGGGGATTTGTAGCCACGGATACTCTCGAATTGTCATGCTTTCCATTTGTACCATGTGATTGGCAGCATTTATTCGGTGATCTATTCATGTCAGATCAATGACTGAACAACTGTAACGAAACAATTGTATTTGTTACATCCACTGTTCTGTTGATTTTGTTATTTGAGCAGGTGGATTTCTTTTGCTCTTTGAAATTGGATCTAAGACAACAATTTGATGAGGCTATTGCATTCTCATGTGCTCAGGCTATTAACTTTGGGTTGTAGCAGAGAATAAAACAGAGGCCCGACTTATATCCCATGGCTCAAATGAGTGAACCTGTTCCCTGGGTGGGCTATAAGAGATTCTACTAACTGGATTAGCTGCATCTGAACGGATTATTTATCAAAACTTAGTTCTAGTTTGGTTGGTTTTCCTTAGCCTTCAAGAATGAGGTTGAAGAGTGACATGTGCAGTGCAGGTTTATACTTGCCTCTTCTTTGATACAATAAAGACTTATTGCTAGATGAGAAGTCTTAATATGAGTGGTGTATTCTGATGGGTTTTATTACACATTCAATCTGAAACTATTGCAAACAGATTTTATGGGATTTCTTNTAGATGAGAAGTCTTAATATGAGTGGTGTATTCTGATGGGTTTTATTACACATTCAATCTGAAACTATTGCAAACAGATTTTATGGGATTTCTTCATGCCTTATGTTTATGTCTAACAGTGGAAGGCCCAATCTGAAGCCCATTTAATGGAATGGTGTTTGTAGCATATGAACACCCTAATTCAGTTTTCGTTGTGAAGAAAATTCTTTACCTTCTGCTCCCATTAGAGATGATTAGCTAAATTTTTTTCTATTTAGATGGGAGATCAAGACAAGTGGACTATGTCGTTTGTCATGCCCTCAAAGTATGGTTCCAATTTGCCATTGCCTAAGGATTCATCTGTCACTATCAAGGAGGTGCCAAGTAAAATTGTTGCAGTTACTGCCTTTTCAGGTTTGTCCTTCCTTAAACATGAGAAGCCTTGGACGGTAGGGATTTAGAGAACAGTGTAGGCCTTTCACCAGGAGTGGTTGTAACGTACAATTGTAATAATACTTGCCTGGGATACGTAATTTTGAAGAATGGGAAGGTATGCATGAGGGATATCCACGTAATTTTACCTCTGTTCAGTTCCATTCATGAGAAGATGTCAAGTGTTTTCTTCATAATCAAGAATCCTGGAGGATTGTTTGCATTACAAATTTACAGTAGGAATCATGCACGTAGTACTAATATGTATAGAATTTAGATCTGATCCAGAAGCGTTCAGCTGCAGTGAGTGTATATGATTCATTATGGTTGGAGGCACAGATAGTGTGGCATGTAGATTCATTAGAATGCATGAGACTCAAGTTATGGATGATCAATTGCATGACCTTTGTTCCTTTTCGATCTTGAGTCAGGTTTCGTAACTGATGAGGAAATCAAACGTCGGGAATCAACACTTCGGGATGCACTAAAGAATGATAAACAATTTCAAGTGAAAGAGGCTACATCAGTGGAAGTTGCACAGGTAACTTCAAAGCATAGTATTAGCTAAAAATGAAGAACATTATCAACAGACTAGAATTTGGTCAGCTTGTGTGAAGGATGGTTTATTTATTTGTCGTGCTTTCTATGCATGTCATTGCAGTACAATCCACCATTTACGCCTCCATTTTTACGTCGTAATGAGATTGCTGTTGAAGTTGAAAGGAAGCAAGAGTAGCTCCTNCAGTACAATCCACCATTTACGCCTCCATTTTTACGTCGTAATGAGATTGCTGTTGAAGTTGAAAGGAAGCAAGAGTAGCTCCTCTGTATGTGATATTAATCAATTTCAGAATACTGTACTTAAGTTGGCTCACTTAATACCAGTAAAACTATTGTAAATGGTGATCAGCCAAGTCAGGTACATTTATTTAATATATGATGTAAATACCTTCCACTCGATAACATTGACTGTATCTCATACATCTGAAAATAGCCTGCCTTCCACTTTATTCNTATCTCATACATCTGAAAATAGCCTGCCTTCCACTTTATTCCTACTTCAACAGTTCTGCTTGATGAAATGTCTTTTTTTATTTAGTTTTGATGATGAATTGGCATCAAGCCTAATTTTAGATTGAAATTTACTGTAATTTTGCTTGTATAAGCTTGCATGTTCCACTGGAAAGCTAAAATCAAATTCTATTATGCTACTACAGTTTATAAAATTTAGACATCTACATGGAACTTTTAGTTTGGAGTTGACTTTCCAAAGTTGTTTTATATACCTGTAGATATGGATCCTTTTCGTATCATCTTCTTGAAAAGGAATAGCTGAAGCTTGTTGACCACTCTGGACTGTTTTCTTATTGTATATTTTTTCCTGAAAAGCATTTCGCTTAATTCATTGGAGACAATAGATTAACAGNCGCCTCCATTTTTACGTCGTAATGAGATTGCTGTTGAAGTTGAAAGGAAGCAAGAGTAGCTCCTTTGAATGTGATATTAATCAATTTCAGAATACTGTACTTAAGTTGGCTCACTTTAATACCAGTAAAACTATTGTAAATGGTGATCAGCCAAGTCAGGTACATTTATTTAATATATGATGTAAATTCCTTCCACTCGATAACATTGACTGTATCGCATACATCTGAAAATAGCCTGCCTTCCACTTTATTCCTACTTCAACAGTTCTGCTTGATGAAATGTCTTTTTTTATTTAGTTTTGATGATGAATTGGCATCAAGCCTAATTTTAGATTGAAATTTACTGTAATTTTGCTTGTATAAGCTTGCATGTTCCACTGGAAAGCTAAAATCAAATTCTATTATGCTACTACAGTTTATAAAATTTAGACATCTACATGGAACTTTTAGTTTGGAGTTGACTTTCCAAAGTTGTTTTATATACCTGTAGATATGGATCCTTTTCGTATCATCTTCTTGAAAAGGAATAGCTGAAGCTTGTTGACCACTCTGGACTGTTTTCTTATTGTATATTTTTTCCTGAAAAGCATTTCGCTTAATTTATTGGAGACAATAGATTAACAGATGAAAGGGCATGGGACCGTTTTGCATAGAGAAGACCATGAGGGTCATATATTATTGGTGTTACTTAGTTCCTGACCTAGAAACAAAATGGTTATACACGAGTTGTGGGGAAAAATATGTTCTCCTCATCCATATATGTAGAATTTGATGTGAAAAATTGATTTTATGACACGACTGACTTAGCCTTGTTTATGTGGTGGTGCTCTTATCTCATGGACATTGTAGTTTAACTTTTCCATTGCATACTTCTTTTAGTTTGTTGCATGTAAGATATGCCTTTAATGCTTTAAGTGATGTAGATTAGAAAGTGGAAGAATTAGGGATGAGAAGAGAAGAAGAAAGGGATGAGAAAAGAGAGANCTTTTCGTATCATCTTCTTGAAAAGGAATAGCTGAAGCTTGTTGACCACTCTGGACTGTTTTCTTATTGTATATTTTTTCCTGAAAAGCATTTTGCTTAATTTATTGGAGACAATAGATTAACAGATGAAAGGGCATGGGACCGTTTTGCATAGAGAAGACCATGAGGGTCATATATTATTGGTGTTACTTAGTTCCTGACCTAGAAACAAAATGGTTATACACGAGTTGTGGGGAAAAATATGTTCTCCTCATCCATATATGTAGAATTTGATGTGAAAAATTGATTTTATGACACGACTGACTTAGCCTTGTTTATGTGGTGGTGCTCTTATCTCATGGACATTGTAGTTTAACTTTTCCATTGCATACTTCTTTTAGTTTGTTGCATGTAAGATATGCCTTTAATGCTTTAAGTGATGTAGATTAGAAAGTGGAAGAATTAGGGATGAGAAGAGAAGAAGAAAGGGATGAGAAAAGAGAAAGAATTTGAGAAGGAAGCAATGCCAATATTCAATAATAATCAAAAGTCACAACTAAGCCCCTGAAAATCAAAATGACAAATAACACCTAATCCTTATGTCTGCGCCTATTATAATAAAATACAATCCGATTCCTATCATTAAGACAGAGGGATATTGAGGATAACACATNAATCAAAAGTCACAACTAAGCCCCTGAAAATCAAAATGACAAATAACACCTAATCCCTATGTCTGCGCCTATTATAATGAAATACAATCCAATTCCTATCATTAAGACAGAGTGATATTGAGGATAACACGTNGGGATATTGAGGATAACACATCTCATTTTGAACTTCTTGCAACTGATAAATTCACCGATTTATTCGCTTCATGACAAGAACTGCAGACAATAACTCACTAGAATTTTTTTGAAAAAAATACATAGAATTTTATTCTAGCCTTATGAGATATTAGANTATAATGAAATACAATCCAATTCCTATCATTAAGACAGAGGGATATTGAGGATAACACGTCTCATTTTGAACTTCTTGCAACTGATAAATTCACCGATTTATTCGCTTCATGACAAGAACTGCAGACAATAACTCACTAGAATTTTATGCTAGCCTTATGAGATATTAGAAAAAAAAAAACTGAAATGCATACTTCTAAATCTTTCTTGGCCTCATTGGTTGTATTGCTAGACAGTGTATCTCTCATAACCATTGGTAGCCGGGTTTGTATTTTAAATTTAATCTGTCGAATTAGAGGAAAAGAAGAGGAATGTTGGCTAGTTGGCTTCAGGTATGCTTTCTAGTACGGGTTTCCACCCTTTACAGCCCTGGCTATCACCCTCAGACTTGAGTAATCCATTGGCGCTGTGTTTTTGGCGAAGCTGAGAAACCATGCCATCAGCTGAAGCTCCCCCTTTTCTAAGCATCATCTCCAGCTCTTGCTTACTAATGACCAGCTTAATCCTCACTACTCTGGTTTCTTGTCCAGCTTCTATCAAAGCATTCGAGAACCTGATCATCTTCTTGTTGAATTTCTCTGGAGGCGCCGGAAGAGGTGGAAGATAGTACGTGTGGCTGCCAAGCATGTCAGCATCCGGAGGGAGATGGCGAACAACCGGAAGTGTGTCAGATATTGCATGACCGGTAAATTCTGACATCACTTGATGAACTTTCATGGGTGCTTTGTATTCAAGGATTTTCCCATCTGTTTTCATGACTGTGATGACCTTGTCTTGCAGAACTAAGCAGTTTCCCATATTAAACACTGCCTCAAGAAAGAAACTCAATAGGTTGCTCTTAAGTAAGCTAGTTTGGAGGAAAAATATGATTTGTATTTATAAGTAAAAAATGCTAAAGGGTGCCCTGGTAATTTTGCTATTTAAACAAAATGGCCCTTATGGCTTATGCATCTTTGGACCCCATCATGATGATTTTTTTTAGGTGTGCAATTCACGGGTCATGATTCATGAACTAAATCAGATAAAGAAAAATACTATTTGGACGTAGTTGGGTACCTAATCTGGGGGCCTAATCAATTACAGTTATTGGATTAAAAATGGGTTTCATTTAACGTTGAAATTCATAACTAATCTAATGATTGTATTGAATTCGATCCTTGATTAGATCTCAAAATTAAATTCCTATAGCATTGCCGAGAGAGATAATCATGACGCCTTTGAAGCTTTCTTTACGATTGTATGAGTCAAACATATTGGTTATTATGTTCAAATAGTTATGAACTCTAACCCCAACAAGTTCTAGGACTTTTGCATCAACGGTTGGACTTATAACACTTGGTATTAGAGTAGGCACTGCGTCATGAGTTCGAGTTACAGAAAGGGGTGACCTATAGGCTAAATTAAAATGTCTTAGTATTATGTATGTACATAATATTATCGCATTGAATATTGGTAAGTGAGTGGAGCTGTCAAAGAGAAAAGGTTACCATTAAGTCAGTGTCGATAGAGTAGGCCATCGTGGACATTGACTCTAAACGTGGTGGAATGTTACGTTCAAATAGTTATAAGTTCAAACCCCTCACANACTTGGTATTAGAGTAGGCACTGCGTCATGAGTTCGAGTTACAGAAAGGGGTGACCAATAGGCTAAATTAAAATGTCTTAGTATTATGTATGTCCATAATATTATCGCGTTGAATATTGGTAAGTGAGTGGAGCTGTCAAAGAGAAAAGGTTACCATTGAGTCAGTGTCGATAGAGTAGGCCATCGTGGACATTGAGTCTAAACGTGGTGGAATGTTACGTTCAAATAGTTATAAGTTCAAACCCCTCACAAATCCTGAGACTTTTTGATCAACGGTTGAATGTATAACATTGGTGAGTTGGCAATGTGAGTCTGGCGAGTCAATATGCAGCTGGAGCAAGGGAATTCGTCAATTGGGTGAGTTTCTTGACACTCCTTTATGTTCTTTGCGTGCACTCAGGCAGTTGCTTCTGGTTTTGTGTCATTCTCGATTTGGTTTTAGTTAGAAGAGTAAAAATATGTTGATTGTGGATATAAGTTTGTTATTTTTTCGATAACCGAGAACGTTTTACTTATGTGTTCATTGAACTCATGACTGCGACGTACCCCGAAATGTTCGTGTCAATCGTTTAACTATGTGTCATTTGAACTAATGATTGTAAAGTATTTCACTATGTGCATAAAATTGAGATCTTGAGATATTAACTATTGAAGTTCTATAGATCATCCGATCTAACAGGATTTGTTAAGGGTCACTAATATTTATTCATGTCATTTTCAAATTAGGTATTCATAGAAGAGTATGAAAGATGATTACTATCATTTTTGGGATATCTTAGATATGTAAATGTTGCCCAAGTAGCCCATTGAAGTTGAACTTTCTTAGCCTTAGAAATGTGCTCGAACTTTTCCATGGCACCCGTGTTTAGGGTGGTCAATCTGTATTTACATCGTTTACAAATTAGGTGGTGTTACTAGAAATTAAGTATTGTTCTCCCCCCGGCGGATATTTCAGTTGTTCTAATAAATCATCGCAGTACTTTATTATTCACGTACTGGACTAATGGTAGTTCAGCCACTTGATAAATTTCTCATGAGGAATAAATAAAGAGTTCGTATATCACACGAAATGTATCTTCTTGGAACTACCGCTCGTAGATCTATTCCCTNGCACCCGTGTTTAGGGTGGTCAATCTGTATTTACATCGTTTACAAATTAGGTGGTGTTACTAGAAATTAGGTATTGTTCTCCCCTCGGCGGATATTTCAGTTGTTCCAATAGATCATCGCAGTATTTTATTATTCACGTACTGGACTAATGGTAGTTCAGCCACTTGATAAATTTCTCATGAGGAATAAATAAAGAGTTCGTATATCACACGAAATGTATCTTCTTGGAACTACCGCTCGTAGATCTATTCCCTTCTTAGAAACCCATAAACATCGATGTTACTGTTTGGGGAATGAAAATATGGAATAAATGAGCACAAAGTTCTTAGTGCGGAGGTCATGTGTTCAAGCTAAGGCATCTACGAGGATAAGAGTCAAGTCTTACAATTTTAATCATTCTATTCTTGTAGTGGCTCTCAATTTTACCCCCATTATTGTTTAGCTGTCTCACACTTTGTATCTCTCACTTTGTACTTTTAAAAATTAAATTTTTTACATTGTACGTTTAATATATTAAAAATGTTATAATGTAATCTTTTTGTTAATTTTTGTTATTCATTTTATCGACGTTAATGAGATGTTTTTGTCGAAATAAGCAACGAACCTAACCAATGAGTCACAGTATAATACTTTTAATGAATTGTATTTTTAATAAATTGAGTATGCAACATAAAAAGTTTAATATTTAAGAGCGTAAAGTAAAAAACTTAAATTTTTTAGACTGCGAACTCAGATTGCCCCTATTATTTCTTAGCATGTTAGGGCTACATTGGATATTCACCAAAAAGCTTGTTCTCTTTAGCCACACCTCTTTTCTTTCTTATTTCATTACAGCCGTTATTTTTGAACTCGCAAAAAGTGTTCAGAAAGACCCAAAAAAAAAAAAAAACCAGAAATANTTCTTAGAAACCCATAAACATCGATGTTACTGTTTGGGGAATGAAAATATGGAATAAATGAGCACAAAGTTCTTAGTGCGGAGGTCATGTGTTCAAGCTAAGGCATCTACGAGGATAAGAGTCAAGTCTTACAAGTTTAATCATTCTATTCTTGTAGTGGCTCTCAATTTTACCCCCATTATTATTTAGCCTGTATCACACTTTGTACCTCTCACTTTGTATTTTTAAAGATTAAATTTTTTACATTGTACGTTCAATATATTAAAAATGTTATAATGTAATCTTTTTGTTATTTTTCGTTATTCATTTTATCGACGTTAATGAGATGTTTTTGTTGAAATAAGCAACGGAACCTAACGAATGAGTCACAGTATAATACTTTTAATAAATTGAATATGCAACATAAAAATTTAATATTTAAGAGCGTAAAATAAAAAACTTAAATTTTTTAGACTGCGAACTCAGATTGCCCCTATTATTTCTTAGCATGTTAGGGCTACATTGGATATTCACCAAAAAGCTTGTTCTCTTTAGCCACACCTCTTTTCTTTCTTATTTCATTACAGCCGTTATTTTTGAACTCGCAAAAAGTGTTCAGAAAGACCCAAAAAAAAAAAAAAACCAGAAATATTTTTAGTTTTGGTTCAATCATCTGAACAATCACAATTAATACTTTGTGTTGGTCCTAGTACGTAAGGACGTAAGTGTTTAGAGCTCACAAGTTTAACCAAACTTTAACATACCCGCAATCAAAAAATTAGGCCAACCACGTACAAACGACTTATAAATCATGGTATTTGTTTTTTTTTTTTTAAAGTATAAGAAAATCACGATTCAAAATGTGAGAAATTATGAGAAATGGGTTATATCGCCATACATTATTGTAACAGTGAAAGAGCAGTTATAGATACAATAAGACCCACTAAAGTCCTGGTTAGTGCTTGATCATTGTGCACCATAACTTGTCTCTGTGATTGACTACCTACATCTAGGCACTATTGACTTATTTCCATGGCTCCTTCTAGCACGTCGTCAATAATAATGTCTTTTAGATCCTCTAATTACGCCGGTAGGCCACGAGAGAGTGTTAACAGTTTGTTTCTTTTCTCATGGCATCAAACACCCAATGTGGTACCCGTGGATTCACCACAGTGACAATTACGGGTGTCAAATTATGACAGGTCTCGTTAACACGAAATGAAATTAGAGAGTTTGAATCTTTGTTAAATCACTCGTTTCGTTAAATGAGCGAATCAGACGCGACACGATTAATAAACAAATTGAGTATGAGTGAAGTCAATAAAAAAAAAAAATACAACACGATTCGTTTATATATCAGTATACACGATTTATATATGATACGAACATGATATGACACGACTTGTTAGATACGAATTAATAAACGAATTAGGTATTAGAAGAATATTTTTTGACATGACTCTGTCTCACTCGACATGATTGACGAGGGTAGTGATCCATTCTTTGCAAATGTTAAATTACTTTTAATTTGTAATTTGATTTATTAAATCCCTTCCTCCACGAAAAAAGAAAACTCGAGTGTATCCGTAGAGATTGTATTCACTCAGGGGCTCTTAGGTTGATTTTTTTGGAGGGATTTGGATTGACTTGTCTAAACTCTTCCAAACCCAAACCCTTTTTTATAAAAATGAGATTCAACATTTAATTTCGTCCATACCCATGTTTGGTATGCGTACGGATATATCACTATTATGATAATATATTTTTATATAAATAACTATTGTGTCTCTTAACCAATCGAATCCAAACTCATGTTTGTAAATGTACATTTTTTTGTATCCTTATGATTTTAATATTTGATTATTTGAGGCATAAATATTTGATTATGGGTTATACGGGGATATAAATATTATTTTGTATGTTCAACCTTTTAACCCCCATATGAAACTCATCTCCACTGGGTTTCATAAAACCCTGAACATGGGTTTAAATTGCGGGCCTAAAATGGGCTGTGTTTGATAACTTGAGGCTAGAAATATGTTGCCAAACATGAATTTGATGGATTTTGTGGGGGGATTGTTGGACCAAAACAGTTTTTTGAGTGTAAAAATTGAGTTTTTGGTCGACTTTGAGCCTAAATTAAAATGAGACTCGATTGTTATTTTAAATAAAATTTCATGGGTTCATATTCTACTCCGTGAGGAGAATAATGTAATATATTCACTTGCTCAAATCGAGTAAGAAATGAATGAGAAAATAGGCTCCAAAGTGACCCTCTTGAAACATGAAAATAAAGGAAGTGTAATGTGGGATGCGACACCAATCCCACATTGGTTGAGGAAGAAATTCAACATGGGCATATATAGACCAAGTTTGTTCTATGGAATTAGGCCC